GAGGACATTCTTGCAACAAAAAATACAAACGGATCCTCTATCAGACACCCTGCAATGGCATGTCCTTCGGAACATCCATTGAACCACCAGTACATGGGCACCTGGGGCACAGCCCTGAGACCTCAAATTCTGGAGGTGCGAAACGAAGACGCAACCGCGGATCGAAGTTATCAACAGCACGCCCAGCGTTTGACGTTTCGGCGTCATTTTCTTGTGGCGACAATGCCGACAAGTATCGGACTGCAAGGCTGGGGCCATGTGCTTGTGGTTTAAGATAAAGAACAATACAGAGGACATTAGCATGGTCCCTGTGCAACGATCACACACACACACACACACACACACACACACACACACACACACACACACTGTGCAACGATCACACACACACACACACACCCACCCACTCAGTTTTATGTCTGCAAGTCTTTCTTCTGTTGTATGTTCTCCCTCTGATCTTTTCAAAGTATTTTTTTTGTGTGGCCAACTGAGCAAAACAGTCGGTGGTTCCTCGTTTGGAGTGCCTACTGCACTCTTAGGGGGGTTGCGCAGTTCGGGTTGTCTGTGTTGCCTGTGGCTGATGACACGGATGAGCGTCGGAGTGACTCCCTGGCTCAATGGGTGGTGGGAACCAACAGTCTGCGGCCTTCAATCCTGATGTGAGTAGGTCATGTGCTGCTTGCTCCGTGTTGAATGTGTGGACTGCGTCGTCTGCGCTCTGCCGCTGCCTTTCTGCCTGTCCCACTGGCTTCGCATGTGGTTCTCTGCAAATTGCTGTGTTTGCTGCGTGGTTCGGCCGTGCTGTTGGTGTTGCCTTGCGCTTCGCTACTCCACTGCCTTGCTGCTCATCTGCTGGACGTGCCTTCCGTGTTTGCCGCTTGTGTGCCTTGTAGGTTGGTCGCCTTGTGCTCCGCTCCACGGTTGCGGAGCTGCTGGTCGGCTCGCCCTGTCGTCCCCTGCAGTGTTGTTTCCTTGCTTGTGTTGTCTTGTGCTTCACTACACGGTTGCTGTGATGCATGTCCTCCGTGCCATGTTCTCCCTTGCAGTCGTTTTTGGCGTTGTGCAGCCCTGTTGACTCTACTGTGTTGCCTGCTGCTCCACAGGGTTCCTGCCCGCTCCTATGTTCCACTTGGGGACAGTCCACCTTCAACAAGGGTCAAAGGGTCCATGACCCAAACAATCAAATACGGAGATTCCGCAGATTGTCGACGGTTCAGCCTCCTGATTAGTCGGTGCAACTCCGACGAAACAATCTCGTTACCATCAGTTTTTATTTTTTTGAATTTTTGTCCAGTTCTGGTTTGGAACTTGATTCCTTTTTGCCTTTTTGTTTTTTCCAGTTCTGGTTTGGAACTTGATTCCTTTTTGCCTGTTGTTCTTCTGTTGAGTTACTTTTTGGCTTTGAGTTGTTTGCCTGCACACCCGCCTTCAACTTTTTGGCTTTGAGTTGTTTGCCTGCACACCCGTCTTCCACATACCCTCCAGCCTGTCTCCACCGTCTTTCATGCCTTGCTGCTTTTTGTTGCTTGCCTACCAGCCCAGCTCCCCATACCCTCCACCCTATGCGGGTTTTTTTTTTTTTTTTTCCTGTTGTTGTCCGTGGCTTGATGCCTTGTGTTCGTTTGCCTGCCCGCCCGGCTACCCATACCCTCCAGCCTTTGTCTTTTGCTTCGCTGCTTTCGTGCTCTGCTGCTGTGTTGATTGTCTGACCGCCCTGCTTCCTCATGCCCTCCAGCCTTTGTCCCTTGCTGCCAGATGCTTGTCTGATGCCTTGTCGGTTTCAGAAGCCCTTTGCTTTACCGTCTTGTCTTTCGTGCATTGCTACCTTTGCCATGTTGCTCGTTGGCTTGCTGCTATTTGATTGGGGCTTTCGGTTTGCGGTCTGTTGCTTTTCTGGCCTTTGCATGACTTTTGTGTGTTCGGCTCATAGGCATACCAGGGTCGGTCTCATATCCAAGTGTTGTCATGCCCATGCTTTTTGACGCAACATGCCGTGGCACGGTCGCAGCAGTACTGTATCGTAATCAAACCCACACTCGCCCAGGAAGGGACATGAGGCGGTCGACGGGAATTGAACCCAAGACCTCCTCTGAATGCCACTTGCGTGCCTTACCAACTGAGCTACCTTCTTCCCCCGAATACAACGTAGTACGGTCATTATAGCTGTATTTAGTCTGAATGACAGCCCAAATACAGCTATAATGACCGTACGTTGTATTCGGGGGAAGAAGGTAGGCCGCTGGATTGTCGATGAAAAGATTGATAAAATTCCAAGGAGCCGGTTGACAGAGTACCTGACTGGATGGCTGGACTTCACCCCAATTCTTTTTTTTTTTTCTTTTCTTTTCTTTTTTAGTGCCCCAATTCTAATGCATATCTGAATGATGACCGCAATTTCAACTTCAGAAGAACGGGCATCTATAAAGGAAGAGGAGAGGAGGAGGAGGAGGAGGAGGACGAGGAGGAATTGGTTGGGAGGGTGACTGACTGTCTTGTAGGATGGCTGCTACCTTCTTCACCTGAGTACAATGTATGGTCATTATAGCCCAAATATACACAGTTGAAGATGGAATGTATTTACACTGAAAGATACCCCAAGTACAGCTATTGTAATGACCATATACGTTGTATTCGGGGGAAGAAGGTAGTCCGATTCTAATGCGCATATGAATGGTGTTGAAGGAATCATCAAGTTCATGTTCAAAGGAATGAATCTCCGTGGAGGAGGAGGAATGACGCGGGGGGGAGGACCGGAAGGAACAGGAGGACAACGAGAGGAGCAAGCAGCAGGGGGAGAAAAAGGAGGGGGAGGACAGGAGGAGGAGAGGCAGTCGCAGCAGCGGGAGGACGAGGAGGGAAATAAATAACTTCAAATAAGAGATCAATCATACCCAAGGAATGAATCAATGAGAATCTGGCCCAGACTATTGAGCCCAGAAGATAAGTCCATGCACCTGGACATCGTGCAGAGTCACGATCGTCAATGAACACGTCAGTGCAGCTCACCGTAGGCGTAGGCAAGATCCACACAGCATGAAGAGCCTGCACCTGTACTTGCTAGAATAAAAACTGTGTTTCAGGGAGGGAAAGGACGCGGGGAGGGTGGATTGAGTGGTGAGGGATCAGGAGGAGGGGGGAGATTTGAAGGGTATTTACAAGGGGTCCGAAGAAAGGGAATTTACAAGGGAGATGAAGAGGGGAAGGGAAGTCAAAAAGGGGTATGAAGGGCATTTAGAAGGGGGGCGACGGGGAGGAGGGGAGCGAGGGTAATCATCTCCAAATCAACGCCTGAAGGGAAAAGAAGCAAGCACCGCAAATGGTACTCTCCTTACTTATCCTTCAACAGCTACATCTCCAAATGCTCTCTCACTCTCTGATGGCCTCCGATGTGATGTGCCTTGCCCAGAGTAGCTATGGATCCATACACTCTGGCCTCGGCCCCCCTCCTTGCGAGCACCGATCCGACGAATCCGAACCGATTGGAACCGAGCCGGCGCCCTTGGCGCACAAGAGCCAAGTCGTCACTTAACCACTACAGCCAGGACACGGTGTTTAAAAGCGGAAGCGAAAACACCCTCCGCATGTGGGGCAGGGCGCTTCTCCCGACGAATTCAGTGTCCAACCTTTTTTTTTTTTTTTTTTTTTTTTTTTTATAGAACAGTAGAGTCAGTAGACAGCCATGGTAAGACTGTGAAAGGACCGAAGGAAGAAAAGCAAGACGAGGATGAGAAAAGTCGAAAAAAGCGAGAAATAGCGAGAAAAGCGGGACAGGAAGGGGGTGAAAAAGCAAGAAAAGCACAACAGGAAGGAGATGGAAGAGCAGCAGAAAGCGAAAGAGAAAGAGATGACGAAGAAGGAGGAAGCGGAGAAAGAGGAGGAGGAGGAGGAGGAGGAGGAGGAGGAACAAGAGGAGGAGTCCGCGAAGGAGAAGAGAGATTAGAAGAAGGACAAGGCATCTTCCAAGGAGAAGAAAGAACACGAAAAGGAGAAGAAAGAAGAAGAAAAGGATTTGGCCAAGGAGAAAAAAGGAGAGAGGATGAAACTTCATAAAAGGGATTTGGCTGAGGAGAAAAAGGAGGAGGAGAGGAAGGAAAAGAAAAGAATCCAAGAAGGAGAAAAAGGACGAGCAGAAGGAGAAGGACAACGCAAGAACAGACGCAGAGAGAGAAGCTAAGGAGGACAGCGAGGATAAGGATATCGACAAAGGATCGACTTTGCAAAGTACAGCACTGGCATCCATGCGGCAATTGCGGTGACACCGAATCACTGATCATCCAAGTTGCACGCATGTGGATCAGAACTCTGAACATGGCCATCAAAGCTCTCTGGGTCAGAAGCCGATCATTCTGCCCCTTTCCCAAGACGGGTTCTATAAAATCCAATCTTTAAAAAAAAAAAAAAA